AAAGTAAATGGCTCGGGCCCCATATTACAGATGAAATGAAGCCTTACTCCTCTCCGGAATGTCATGAAAATCTATCACCAAAACAATTGTTTGCAGCTTATCAAAAACACAATTTTATGTCATTCCCATTATATTTTTTTTATTTTTGCATAAAAGATTAAATTTTTGGGGCACCTCCTGTCTTCATTGCATGAGCCAAATTGCATGGAATGAGATTTTTTCACGTGTTTAATTAATAATATATATTAATCTCCGTATAATATCATACAAATATTTTTAATATATTAATTTTCTTTATCTAATTATATACAATTTATTAATGTCATGTATTAATTTCATGATTTCTTTTATATAAAACATTGACTTGTTTAGTTACTCACCACTTATCCTACAGACGGTGCTGCTATCTTGTAACATATAAACGAACCATTGTAGAGACGTATTTTGCGACTGGCTTTATATAATACAAGCACGTGTAGAGCCAGTCGAAAGGGAATTAAAAAGAGAACACAACACAACGTACATCGAAAATTGGAAACTTTATCAAGACTTGTTTTTATAATTACAATAGTCATTTTTATTAAATATTAAGAAAAAACACATAAATTCCAAAAAGGGGGGAAATAATGATACATTTATTTTATTTTTGTTTTTTTTTCTTTCTTTTTGTTCTTAATATCACCAGCATCTTGCACGTAAATACGTACAACACAGGTAAAAAGCCTCCTTCACATGCTTTATACATAGGAGACTGTAATCTTAGGCTATATATAAGATGTACAAACACTGGTCAATTTAGGCGTAGGACAGGTATCAGAAAGGGGGTAAAAATGGGGGTGCTTTTGGGGCGTTTTTTTAGACAGACAATGACCACTGTTACGTCGCAACTGTTTCGGGCAAACGAATCAGTGGTAAGCACCAAGCTCAGTTCAACTGCTACAAAAATTCAACGAAATAACATGATTATAATCTATACTACAAGGTTTTTTTTTGTATTATTATTATTATTAATTTTTTTTTCTCAAAGCTTTACAAACACAAATATATTTAAATACATTAGACATATTATTTTCAAATATAGACCCTTTTACACTACTCTTCTGTACACGTAGAAGAATAGCACGAGCTTTTCTTGTGTTTGTGTACAGTACGTCGCAACCAGAAACAACAGCAAGACTGTACACTTGTTTATTTCGTTCTCATATTAAACAATCTCCATTATTATTTTGCTCATATACAAGAAAAGATCAAAAACTTTTTTGGACTTTGGATCATTACCTTACTTCAATGTGAAGATGTCGATAGAGAGCAATTAATTGTTTAATTTTAGCTGTTTATTATTTTGTTAATTGTTTGTTTTTTCTTTATATAACAATAGTACACGGTTACAAGCGACGAGACTCTTAAAGACAAACACGTTTAGGCAATTTAAAGTTCAATAGTTTGAGCACATAGTACGGTGTGTTTTTATAGTATGGGCAATAGTATCACATGTGTTACAAGCACTTTTAAGTGGCAGTGTAACAATCGTTAAAAAAAAACTCCCCTCTCACTCATTAAAGGAGGGGGGGAGAGAAAATATATATATATAAAAGCTCCGGCCTGTCAATCGCCTACAAGGAATTTTAAAAATACAGTAGATTTTAACATTTTTTTATAAAAAAAACATATGACGTTCCAATTTGTGTTTTACTGATGATCGAGTTAGAATTTGCAGATATAACGGACAAACTAAAAGACTAGTTAGAAAATTTATTAAAATTATTTTAAATACATTAAAAATGCTTTTACATTTTGTTCTTCCTATACACCTCGGAATTTCAAGGCGGAGCAGACCTTTCTTTAGAGACTTCTCATCCGCCACGATATGTAAAACGTTATAAATTTCCTCTGGTGACGACATAATTTTTTTAAAAATATATACATTTGAGACTGTAGATTGAGATGGTTCTGAATGTTTGAAGACAAATGTGTAGATAAGCTTAATAAATTAAATTTTGATTTTTAGAGAGGCAAACCAAGGATGTTAAAATTAACGATTAGAAAATAGTAGTGGAAATTAGCACATGACAGATTAGTGAGGAAGAGCAGAACTACAAAGTAGGAAAAACTAAAGAAAGTGATGGAGTTAATTAATTTGCTATTAATTGCCTAATATCAATTATTGAAAATATTTAATTGGAATAATAATCAATTGTAAATAATATATATTTCCAATTACCGAATTAGATACTACTGTATTGTAGGTCAACGTGATACTAACGATAATTCTAAATGCATATATTCTTTCTTGAAATTAATAAGTTAGAACCCATTTTAAATGATATTCAGTAGGCACCCGCTTTAAATTAAAAAAAACTATTAATTCTGTAGAGAGAAATTCATAATTTCAATTACACACAACACAAAACAGATAGAAAATTTGATATTTTTCTATATTAAATTATGATAAACAATTCATGTTACTAAAATAAAAGCCAAAAATATAATATCCAGATTTTTTCATATAGAAATATGAGCAGATGAATGAGATTTATACTCATATAGAAATATTTCATTAATAGGCCTATATCCATTTCTCATAGAGAAACACACACGAAAAAATTTTATCATTTACAAGTAGGCCTAATCTCTTCTTTTTTCCAATATCATAGCTAATGGTATTATACAGTAACATTCTTACATTCATTTCACGTTATTGTATCTAGAATAATGGGTTAATTTGTTAATATCTTACATTCTGTTTATAATCTTATCATTATATTTGGATCGGAAACGTTCCCGAAACCACTTTAAACTCTTAAACGAGCACTATCGAATGTTTTGCCCCATTTCTTTTAAGTGTATCAATCATTTAAATGTTCTATACGCTTTTTTAAAAGGTCGCCCATATTCACGTAATGTAAAAAAAATAAAAGGGAAAGTATGGAATGGATTTATGTTTCTTCATTTCTTGCATTAACGATAGCGCTTTGGAAATCTTTCCATTTTGAAATGAATGCTTTATATTTGAGACTAAATTATTCGATTCTATGATGATTTCGAATGAAATATACCGAATAATGAAATACTGGTTACAACAAAAGTTGATCGAATTTATCTTGAAATTGCTTTTGCTTAAATTAGGCACGAAGTGATTACGACCTTAGACTGCGCGCGGTATTCTAGTTAGCATATTCAAATTATTTTAAATAAATATTAAAAGGATGTAACACAGAAATTGCAATATACTGTATTTCCTCGAATCTAACTTGTAAGACGAGGTTTTTTCTCCCATTTCTACTTATCCGGAGTTGAGGTGCAATGTAGAATCGATGGTTCTTACACTTGCAGTCCAAAAAAATAATCACCGGCCGACCACGTGATGCGCTATTCACAATAGACGTTCTCGCCTGTACTGCTCAAAGGTCACACTTCAAATGAGTTTTACCGGTTAGAAGCGTTGAATTTGAACTTATTGTTAATTGTTGTACGAGTATATGCAAACACGTAGAGTTGCCAAACATTACTTGTTTTACGATATTAGTATTGTTTTTCTAACTTTATGTTACTTTAAAAAATTTTCCTCCACAAAAAGTCATAAAATTTGACTTAAACTTATAATCTAGGAAATNATTAAATAAAATCAATTAAAAATTAAAGTATAAGATACATCGAAAATTTGACAAATAATTCCATACATGTGCGTTATGGCAACTAAGTCCTGAAATGCCGTATCTGGTATGAAAGAGATATCGTTTCCATGAAGAGATCTATAAGAAAAATAAATGAAATAATAATGTTTAAAGTTATATATTGCATTTTATTATAAAATATAATTAAATACATACAGAATCCTTAAAGATTTTAAACCTCTGAAACTGTCTTCTTGAATGCACTGTAGCTTGTTGTAACTTAAAATTCTGCCAGATAAAGTAATGTATTAAAAGTGAATAATTATTAAGATAAAAGTGTAGAAATTTAAGCGTTTTATCGTATAAATTATAAGATCCATTCCTATTTTAACACTAAATATTTATGGGAAAAAAACTACTTAACAGAGGAGCAAATAAAACAGTGTAAGAACCATTTAACATTATCTAAATTAAATTAATTGCATAAAAAAGAGATGATGAGGTTCTTATTATAGCTTACTTGGTTCCTAATATACCATAGTTATAAACTACAACATTAACTAAGCTTGACTCCAGGAAACTAAGATGTAACCATGGGCTTTCACATAAAAGTTCTGATGGAAGCTCATGGTTTCATTGAAGCCTTATAAAATAGGCGAAAAGAAATGTAAGAAACAACTTATAAACATAGAAAATAGAAAAAAATAATACATTTAACTATCCTGAATCTTATAATATTATAGAAATAAAGCTATTCCAGATTTATCTCAGATTTTATCTCCGTTTACTTGCCTAAAAATTACGATTTCACACTAATTTCAGTCAGAAAATTACATCTAATATTATTTTAACTTAATAAAATTATGATTTTAAAGTGAATTTTAGCCTTAAAACTAGATTTTCCTCATCAGAATTGCAGATTTAACGGCATTTTTACACACGAAATTATAGTTTTAAATGAAAATTTTATTTTCAAAATGATTAACTTATACAAAAGTAGGCATAAAGCAAAGGTGTGCCTATTCTATGTATAGGTATATCTACTTTTGCTATCAATCATCAACCATCTTGACCACTTAGGCTCTGAGAAGACCTGAGCACACGGACTTTGCAAGATCATTTAAAACATATCTAAAGCTCGTATCATACAATACTTAATGCTATACAGGGTCTGAATCTAGTACTAATTTGTATTCTAGTGTAAAACGAAAACAATAGCCATGAATACTGTATCTGAGGCTTCTAAAGTGAGTACCCTAGCAGAAGCTTGGTGTTCCTGTCAATCATTTCCAATGAATATTAGTAAGCTTAGAAGAACCATCTACATTTATAGAAGAGTTTTATCTCCAGTCTATCTTTATATTAATTGTAAATAAACAAAATACTCACGTGTAATGAGTAAAATGGTCTACGCACGATGCGCCATTCTTGCAAGGATTAAATTCTTTAGAGCAAAAGTTGATTTTCTTTTCACAATAATTCCCTAAACGGATGATAAATTATTTCAGAATAAATTTACTTTATTCTTCATTAATCAAAATAGAAATTACCTATGTATCCGGACGAGCATTTGCATTCGTATCGATCGATGTAGTCGATGCAAGTGGCATTATTTTCACACTTGTTAGCGATGCAATCGTCGATGTTAGTTTCGCATCGATCACCCTCGAAACCGGAAGGGCAATGGCAACTAAAATAATACATAATTATCTATAATTTTGTAATGGAAAACCTTCCGAAAAATGCCATTCATTTACCTAAATCTTCCAGTTTCTAAGACTTTACAAGTTCCTCCGTTCTCGCATGGATTACCATAGCAAGCATCGATGACGTATTCACAGTTTCTTCCGTGATATCCCGGTTCGCATTTGCACGTATAATCGCGTAAAGGTTTCGATATACAAGTAGCGCCATTTTGACACGGAAAAGTATAACAGGTGGAACCATAGTTACGTTGATCTTGTTTATTGTATTACAAGTAAAACGTAGTGCTGAATAATGACAAACAAATTTAAGTTATTTTTAATAGTGGCACCAACAAAGATCGAAGGGTTTAACAGGCTGCATCTAGATTCCCCACCAATCACATACAGCGATCTAGATGCATCATGTTAAACTTTATAGCGACTTTTCGCTGCTTGTTGGTCTCTCCATCAAAATAATTCGTTCCTCCGTACTCAACGTCATGTTTCACCTGTAAAAGAATACTGTAAACAATGATTAACGTAGCTATGGTTTCAGACTTATAACGCACTCTGTTTATTCAAAAATGAGAAAATTACGGGTAGAATTTATCGTTATTATGTATCGATAATTGTTTTAATTAATAACTAACTATTATATTAATATTTTGATCACCTTGATCGCAGAAAGGACCACTCCAACCTTTATGGCAACGGCATTCGTAACTATGTTTATTTGTTTGTACACAATTTCCCTTTTGGCACATGTGATTCTTGCAAGGTTTTGGATCATCGTATTCGGAACATCCTGGTGAAACTCTTTGTTGCCTTCTTGCCACCATAATATCTAAATGCTTACCATTTAAATACATTTCCTTCATGCAACCTACATAAAAATTAACAAATTTAATTTAAAATATCGCATAAAATTCGAAAGTATAAATTATAGAAACCTTTAAAGCTTGAAATATTTCGAAGATGCCACTGTTTCAGAGCCTTTTTACCAATGTCTTCGTCGACTCCACCGATATAAAATGGACTTCTCACTTCTAGATACTCATTAGGGCCTTCGTTAATGATACTTCTTGAAATGCCTCCGTCTACTCTCATTGTAAAATTCTTTTTAATTAAAATTAATTCCACCGTGTGATATTTACCATCCGTAACTGTTGCGTAACTAAACATGGTAGAAACTGGATAGTTTCCAACATAGTAGCTCACTCGAATCCTACCAAGGAAGAGTTCTACTGCTAAATGTTGCAATTCACCATTGTAGACCATAACACCATAATCTTGCTGCGTTGCAAACGTTATTGTGATATTGCACTTTGGTTTAGTATGAAGAGGATCAAACTCTAGAAAGGATCCTTCACGAAAACTCACACTAGATAGAGATTCGCACCTTTTTCCCGTAAATCCAGGCGAGCATTTGCAGATATAATCAGAAGCACCACTCGGTTGAAAGCAAACTCCGTGTTTACAGTCATGTTGTTGGCAGGGACTAGTTTGAGGATACAACATGGCAACCATGGGCATAATTTCACAGAATGTNGCCTATAAGTATGACAATGGTGTTTGGATAGTCAGTGGAATCATGCTCGATATTCCAAACATCATTGTCAAACTTCCAGGCTTACAGGAAAGCGGCATTAAATGTCCGACGTCCGCGTTTTCGCATTTAAAACTTTGGCTTCAACCTCGCTATTAGCATTTACAATCTTTCATAAAATCCATCTCTACTCTCAAAGGTTTTGCCATTTTATAATAGTTAAAAATATAACAAAATATAACTCAAGTAGCTTGTGTATCTAAATTTTATTTCCTCCGATGTATTTTTTTGTTTCTATAGCATTATATAACTTTTTCAAAGAGGAGGATCTTGAAATTTCTATCTGGTTTTTTCGAAATGGGACTAAGACCACATCTTACCACTAAGGGGAGGAGTTTAAACTTTAAATAGCCTACATAGAACATATGATTTATGGGCGAACTGATTAATAAAACTTAATGTTGTTATAATTAACTTGAAGCATGTTAATTCCGATAAGAGTAAATGACTGATAGTAATATCTGTGATTATATTAAGCAAATTATATTATATTTTGCCAAACTGAGTACTTAGAAGCCGAAAAATTCACATTTAGTAGCGAACGATATAACACAAATATACAATACTATCTATACAATGACATCGAATATATTCTTAAAACGTGAATCTTCACTTTAAATTAATGTTACTATATCAAGATTTACAAAAATAAAAAAAAAAAATTCTCAATTCGATACAAAACACTCTTTCGGTTTCTGTTTCTTTCATCTATCTCGTGACCTCATTCTTACTCTATGACATCACAATCAGCTGATAACTCTCCAACGATTGGTTCTTTTACAAATCGAAAGATAAAAATAACAATAAACCTCGTGAGATAGCTAACAGCTGATTGGTCCGAACTAGTCAGACCATTTCAAGATGGCGTCATGTCCACCCGGCGTATGTCAAACATTCAACTTCCAACTTTATGACAACAATCGAGTTTTCTAAACTTACATATATACACTTTTAACGATTTTAGCATTTGTTTTTTGTAGTTTTTTTACTGTAATTATTGCTGTGAATTGTAAGTATAGATTGTAATGTGATATATATATATATATATATTAGAGCTTAAAGCTATGTCCTAGATCATGTTTTTTTAGTTTGTTAGTCATTTTAACATTAAAAAAGGTTATTCCTATTCTATATAATATGTAAACTATGTGTGTTTTAATATATTACTTTATTAATATTATATGGTCTTATATTAAATGAATGTATTTTGTTTTACCTTCAATTATTTTACCTTGTAATAGAAAAATTATCCAATATAATTATAGATTTTCAATCTGTTTATATTCAGTCAATGCAAACAATAAAATTATTGCATTATTCTCTTTGTTTTTATAGTTTTATAAATATTATATGTTGTAAATAGTTCTGGCTTATATAATTTTTAATAAATTATTATATAAAAATGTTATAGCAATTTATATTAATATGAAATATATGCCAATAATAATTATTGAAATTTCTGAATTTAAACAACTTAATGAAACCCTATAATTATGTTGTTGATTTATATACTTTATTTTTAATTTTATGCCACTAGCTTATATAAATGTCTCAAAATTTTAATTGTTTATTAAAAATTTATCATAATTTATTTTTGGAAAGGATTTTAAAGTATTAGAATTTATAGATTTTTTTTTTTTTTTTTTTTTTAGTGAACTAGAGTAGTCTTTTTCACTGCTATTTTATGATTTACACGTAAAATATTTAAAATGTATAGAGATTTTTATATATAGAGAGAGTGGCCCAAAAGTCGAATAACTGTTTTTAGTAGTTTTCCATTCAAAATCCTTCTAAGTGGTACCCCTTTATTGCCGTAACCATTTTGTACCATCAAATCTACGTGATGATTTAGTCTTTGCAATGATTAACTGACTTTTGGTTTGGTTTGCTTGTTACGGCAAGGAGGAACGTGGGCGATCTGTCGAAGGGTGGTGCCTCTCTGGAGAGGTCTTTATAAGAGAAAATAGTTCCTATTTACGTGAAGAAAATCAGGAAAACTCATGTGGGTAGCCTGTTGTCAAGGCTCGAACCCACGACGAGTGTTCAGTGGTTTTATCTACTTGGCCACTGGAGATGAACTGAATTTTGGATCACCCAGTATTTATAAATTAAATACTGCTGTAAAATTCTTTAGAAATATAACAATATAAAGATAAATTTGGCTACGAGAAGCAGACCAAAGTGAACTAACCAAATTTTCTAATCGGTTATTGTAATCTACCTAATGGAAATGAGCGTGGTCTTCTAGATGCTTCAAATTTCTTATATGAAAACGTTTAAAATAATTAAAATTAAATTTAAATATTTACACTTCTGTTGCCGTAACGGGGATGGTTTTCGGTACAGATCTTAATTTCTGCCTGCTGCACTGAATAACATTTCCGGTACATACGCACTTATCCCAACCTTTTTCTTGCATTGACTCCCATATAGAAAATATTCTTTTCAATCGAATCCTTAAAATTTTTGTTATTTTCCAAGATTTTGCTTAATATATCGAGTAAATTATTAAATCAGTCAATAATGATTGTTGTTATTCTTCTTTGAAAATTCTCTGATTTTTTCACCGATCTCATACAAAATTCCATTGAACCTCTCGGTGTATATTGACCCAGTTGAGAATCTCTACTCTAGAATATATATGAAAAGTATACTAGTAATCTTCTGTAAGAATCCTCATAAGCTTGTATGGTAACTCTAGTATGAAGTTCCCATTACAAGCTTCAACTATGAGATCCTCATGAAGATCTCATAGATAATGTCCAGCTAATAATGTCTTCTCCCAAAACACCATTAACTAATGAAATAAACTACTTCACGTGTCCATGAAGCAAATAATTTACTTGACTCAACGACTTAATTCTGGAAGAATACTGCTCATAGAAACTCTAAAAGAACTTGCAAAGAACACATTCAACAAAGATTCTAACTTGCATGTTATATAAATTACAAGAAAAATGGTTTCTTCAAAACAAACCTGCACAGACAAAGTGATTAGAAGGAGCCGTTAGTATCAATTTATCCTTCATTAAATGAGGTTCTGCACATCTGGCAATACCCGGTTCAATGTAATCCTTTTTAATCCAGTCGGATAACCATCTCATACTGCAATCGCAATAAAGTGGATTGGCACCTAATGNCTGAATCTAAATCGGCAAATGTATCGTTGGTAATGCATGTTATCTGGTTGGTTCTGAGCATTCTAGATGGTGTTTAGAACGATTTTTTAAAGTTAATTTCATTATTTAAAGATAAATAAATACATAATAATCTACTAAATATATAAAATTATATTAAAAAACTAATGGAAAACTTAATGTAATTAAAGACAAAGGGTTTAAAATGTTGGTTTGTGGCTAACATTGAATCCACGTCACTTCTCTCCAGCCTTTGTCTTATTTACTCGTTTCTACAGATGCCAAAATGTAGACGGCGAAAATTAATATGTGTAACTAATTAAAATTACATTTAATAAAGTTCTCTCGTGTAAACTTATAAATCAATCTGTAAAGCAATCTCCCGCATTCAAAAATTCATAGGGGAGAGAGAATTTTGTAACGAAAGAAAGCAACAATAAATCAAATTATGCAAGCCAAGGTGGTAGATTTTAAAAAAATACACTTCACAGAGGAGACATGGAAAGCTTAGGGACAGGAAGTCTCGATTAAATTGCTCGTTCGAGAGAGAAAGACCAAGAATTAAATGGGAGGTCAACATTAGAGATTCGATTGTTTTGTCTGTATACGACAATGCAACACGTGGGCGATCTATCAATGAAGGATGCCACCTGAGAGGATTTTCTTTGGTAAACTGGTCCGTGTTTTGGTGTTCGGGCTCAGAGACTAGAGATAGAAAAGACAAGAAAAAATTCTCAATCGTCTGCAACCTGTGCCGTGTGAAACGACATTTATGAATATTCGTGAGTGTTTCTGACATGTTACACGTATATGTATTCGTCCATATTCCTAATATTCACTCTTTTAAGAAAAAAATTGCCCAGAAAAATGTTAGAAAATATTTAAATTTTTAATAATTTTCCATTAAATGTATTATTTCTCTTATATTTTTATAACAGTTACAGAATAGATACAAATTAAATTAAAATGTAAATATCTTCAGACACTCATTCGCATTTTTAAACCAAAGAAAAAAAAAAGGGAGAAAACAGGTCATAAATCTGTGCAGAAATCGACAAAAACTCCATAATGAATTTACTTATGTTACCATCTCTCCATATGTTAATGCTTTTCCTTAACAATTAATTAACGTAAAACAAATACACGCACCGACTTACAGCATCCCCTTTTTTAAAACATAAAAAAAAAGTATATTTGTGCCGTGTTATATTACAGTTGAAGCGTGGGGGTACCATTGAAGTTATATATATATATATAAGGTCCATACACACAGGCACTAGAAGAATTATTTTCAAGAAAGAATCTTCTTAATTTAAGAAGAAAAAAAGAAGAAGAAAAGAGCCATAAAACTACAAAAGTATACCATTCTGTTATTGCAGGTAACACGATCCTGTTGTGGTCCAGTGATAAATGGATTGTCACCAAAGATTAGAATAAATTAGAGTACATTTCGGTTCCACTTCATGAATTTTTCAGTAAAGTAAGTAAAGAAGAAGAAGAAGAAGAAGAAAAAAAAATCAGATAAAAAAAGGGGGGTTGAAATTTATAGATTCCTGTCACTCGATCCCCACATTTGTGTTAAAAACTCATTAAATTGCGTCATTGTAATTCAATACAAAATATGGAGATGGGTTTATAAGTCAAAATGTATGATTCACTTTACAAATATTTTTGAAAAAAAAAACAAAAAAAAACGAAAAAATACTTGAAAAAAACGTTCAAAAAACGGGCAGAAATTAATTACTTACAACGTTTTCACGTTTTTTAAACCAGCGAACATCTTCGGCCTTATCTCT